GGGTAACTGTATGGGCACTATTGGGTAATCAGCATCCAATCCTAAGCGGAGATAATATCTGGGCCAAAGGTGATGGGCGGGGTCGGAGAAGATCTTCGGGAACCATCGGGAAGGTTCCACGAGGGGGCGTGGCTAGAGGCGGAGCTCAGCTCTGCCGGGGGGAATATAAGCAGAGGCAGGGGAAGACTCGTGGTCGGTGTGGGAAGCCTCGGTTCCGGACTGCGTCGCTGTTCATCCTCTCCTCGCCACCGACCACGTGGCGGATCCCCCAGCAGAGCTCGCCTCTTCTCCCCGGCACGCCGCCAACCAACGGTGGGATCTGAGAGCATGGCGAACCTCGTTAGTGGGACGGAGAGAACGCCTCGTCAATGGCATTGATAAAAAGGGAATTTACCCGGAGAGGGAAGGAGCGGAGCTGTGCAGTACTACAGTTTAATAAAGAAGCACCATTACAAGAATCGTCGTGGAAGTAGTTTATTACAATAGTATATATCGACTCAATAATAGTACTAACTTCACAGAGTGTAGTGGTGAGGCCTAGTCCTGTGCAGAGCCCCCGGCCTCGCCTAGATTGCGCAGCCGGCCAAGGTGGCACCTTTTGCAGACTGGGCTGGGCTGCTACCCCCCCCCCCCCTCCCCATCCCCCCGCCCGCTCTACAGTAATAGTATCTAAGGGATATAATTGTAGTATCTACTGTCCCTATTGTAGTAAGTGCACACATTGGGGTGAGGAGTAGAGAAGAGGACATCACACTTTGAAAAACATTTCTTCAGTGTTGTGTGTACTTTTTTAGCATTTTAACGCGAATTGGAATTCCCCCCTCTCCCCACCGATTGCATGTGTGCGTTGCTAGGGCAACCACCAGTCAGCGTTTCGCACATGCGCAGATGTTAATTTAACAATTTAAGTTGACGGATGTGAAATACGAATAGCACTGGCTCACCACGAGGCTTATAATAGTGTAGTGACATTGAATGAGTCACTGTAGCGCGTGCCGCTGGGAGATTGTTAGACAATGGAATTAGGGGTAACAGCCCATTCTACCAGTTGGACCTGTGGACAAGGCCCAGAGCCCTCTGGGGGATCTTGAAGGGTGCGGGGCTGATGGCGGAGCCTTGCCACGCTGGGCAGGATAAAAGGCAAACGACTCACAGTCGGGGCTGCTGGGATCTGGAATGGAACTCGTGCCATCGTCGTCATGATCTTCACCTTCTTCAAGCTGTGGATCTGGCAGCATGTTGGCTGTACCGACCCGGTATGTAGTTATCCCTTAAGGCTGTGATGGCCGGAATAAACAAGAGAGAGTACCTTCTACTAGTGTCTGTGAATTAGTTTACTACATTTCGTGTCAGGAGTGTTAACAAACAATTTTATTTTTAGACATTGTAGGGTTGTTAGGAATTATCCTTTCGAATCCTTGAGGGGGATATAGGCTATGTCGAAGTTCGCTAAGAGAATGGTTCTCATCGGCACATCCTCGAGTGAAGAAGACGATGGTGATGAGGGTTCTCAGGCAGCCCTGGCAGCCAGGACCCCGGTGGGGGGGTCCCGGAGAGGCGGTCCTGGCGGGGCAGAGGGCGAAGGACGACGATCCTGCGCCGCCGCTAGCTGAGGAAAGGCTGTGGGCACTCAGCGTGCGCATCGTGGAGCCGCTCTCTGCGGTGACAGCGCTGGTGGGGCAGCTAGGTAAGGAAGAGCGGGAGGAGGGGGCTGCGACTCGGGGGCAGCGAGCGGGTGACTCCACTGTCACTGCCGACCAAGGGCAGGAATTGAGTCCCGCCGAATGTAACCTGCCACCGACAGCTCATCCGGGGGCGCCTTCCCTCCCACAGCGGCTGCCGTTTTTCAAATAATTTTCGGCTGGGCGGTCTTCCGGCGGCGGTTTGCCGCCACTTGCGAGCTCACGGGGTTGTCCGAAGCGGAGGCACCGCACTGGATGACGCAGCCTTGGCGGCGTTTTTTTTCCATTCCCGAGGTGGGCAGAATGACGCTGTGTCAAGTGTACGCCCAGTTGGCAGCAATTTTTGACCCGCCGTCCAACGCGCAGTGGAAATTCGTGATGCAGAGTTGGGGGGAGACCGAGACACCCGTCGCCTTCCGCAGCGCACTACTGTTGCTGGCCCAGGATGTGTACCCACGTAGGGAGCGGGCAGGACTGGATTCTCTGGTGCTAGAGAAACTGTTGGTGCTGGCTCAGGAGATTAAAGTTTTTTTGCCGGCCACAGAGGAGGACGACCTGTCCTCGACTCAGGTAGCCTGATGCATCCAGGCACACTGTCACCTGCGACGACGTGCCGGGGTGGCAGCCGGGGCTGGATTTCTGGGAGAAAAGGGCATCCAGGAGTGTCGAGAGTCTCCTTGGGTCTGCGCGTCGGGTGGTTAGATCCCGCTGGGGAGAGTCGGAGCGAGACGATGACGGGACCAGCGGGGGGGGACCTTGCCTCCGCCATGGCGGTGCCCCGTTACCTGCTTCAGGTGTGGCCTACCACCTCCCACATCGTGGGAGGTGGTAACAGGTAAAGTACAGGATTTCCAGACAGGTTGAAGTATGGTGGGTGGTTCGACCACCTGGGCCACTTCGGTAACCAAGAAGGCCTGTCTGGACTCACCTGGAACGCACTGGCTAACGGGGCTCTGGTTAGCCACTTAGACTAAGGGAGTAAACCCTTATAAAATCCCGGGTAGATACCAAGTGGCCAACGGCCCACCTTGGTGGGGTGGATGAGCTATGATCCAGATGGCCAACGGCATATGGCGGAGGAGCCACTGGATGTCTGGTGCTTCAGGACAAGCCTTCCAATCGTTTTGGTTTTCTGCCTCGCCATTGGACCCAGGTTTGGTTCCTGGTTAGCCCCGTGCGGTAGCTGGTGTGAAACGGACACTGCATGTAAATTAATTCACGCACTGGTACCCTCCAGGGAAACTGTGCCATCGCACCACCACACTACACACCCAAAGCCCTTGGGCAATTGGCAAGTGGCGAGTGGGGCAGGCCTATGCAGCTAGAAGCTCCTAGTCACAACGCAGCACCAAGGCGGCAGCTATTAGAAGGTCGTTATGCACTCGGATTAGGCAGGAGTGCATCCCGACAGCTATAGCTGTGACTGAGCAGCCTACCAGGATCCACTCTTCTCACCTTCAGATGGGGAGGGGGCTAGAAAAGGTGCCGTAAACATAGCCTGCCTTAGCAACATCCTGTCTGGCTTACTGCGACCAGAGGGAGCATCAATAATTGCGGTCGAAACAAAAATAAATATAGCCTAAACATTGGATCCTGGAATGTCAGGACCCTCACAGACAACCCAAACTCGCAAAGTCCAGAGGGCCAAACAGCTCTTGTGGCACGCGAGCTGAGACGATTTAATATCCATATTGCCGCCATCAGCGAAACCCATCTGGTGGATGAAGGCCAACTGACCGAGTGAAGTGGAGGCTACACCTTCTTTTAGAAGGGTAAACCAGCGCATGAACGACGCCTGGATGGTGTAGGGTTTCCAATAGACAACATGCTCATCAACAGCTCAAATGAGCTGCCAATTGGTATCAATGAGCGTTTTATGACCCTGCACCTGATCCTCGCAAAAGACCAACATGAACCATCATCAGCACCTACGCACCAACACTGGACTCTGAAGAAGACACTAAGGAGACCTACTACAGCCAACTCAACCAAATCCTTCAGAGTACACCAAAAGGGACAAGCTGATTTTCCTCGGCGACTTCAATGCTATAGTTGGGAGAGACCATCAAATGCGGAACGGTGTCATTGGTAAAGAGGGAGTTGGAAAGTCCAACTCCAATGGTCACCTTCTTCTTACAACCTCTTCTGAGCACGACCTGACAGTTACCAACACACTTTTCAGGCAGAAGAATAGCCTTAAGCCCTCCTAGTGCCACCCTCGATCACACCAATGGCATTTACTGGACTACGTGATTGTTAGGAAGCTTGACAGCACAGACATCTGCATCACTCATGATCAATGCAGACGATTGCTGGACTGACCACAGACTAATTCGATAAGTGATGACTCTCAAACTAAAACATAAACACATCAACCGACCAAAACTACAGAGGAAAAGACTCAATGTAACCAGACTAAAAGACCCAACCTCTTATATGGTGCAGAAACCTGGAACACTTATCGTAAACATGTAAAATCTCTCAGATTGTTTAATTAATGCTCTCTCAGGAAAATACTAAACATCACTTGGGAAGAAAGACAAACTAATATTAGTGTCCTGGAGCGATCCAACTCATCCAGCATAGAGGCCATCATGATGAAGTATCAACTCAGATGGGCAGGTCACCTTGTGAGGATGAATGACTCGAGGCTTCCTAAGCAATTCTTATATTCCCAGCTCAGCGATGGATCACGTGCCCCCAGAGGTCAAAGGAAGCGTTTCCATGACAACCTTAAAATGCACCTCAAGCGAAGCCACATAGATCCAAACAACTGGGAAATCTATGCTCTTGATAGATCATCATGGAGGGCCAAAATAAAAAATGGAACTTAGGATTTCGAGGCCGAGTGAAGAGAGTTGATAGCCAGAAAAAGAGCACACCACAAAGCACATACAACAGAGACAGAGGGAACAACGAGTGGGAGCTCCAGGATGGACCATCCGTAAACCGACTGTGCCAAGATCTGCAGGTCACGGATTGGCCTATTCACCCATCTCCGGACCCATGGACAGCCAGGTCCACCTCACAACACAGACAAGTGACACCTGGAGGGAAATCATACTCGAATACGAGGGATCCCAGAAGAAAGAAGAAGACCGGGCCACATCTCCAGTGGCTGCCATGCTGATTTGGGACAGTTTTTCCCGGCTGCGCTGTCCTCCGCCCTGCCGGCCTCCGCTTCTCTGGTCCAAACGCAGGTCGCGATGCGTCACACACCCGGCCGACACAGCCACCTCATGCATCCCCATTGCAGTCGGTGTCGGGTGCACACACCATCGCCCCTCAGTGATACGGGGTACGGATATGGTGCTTCGGTGCGTGATGGTTAGCCGCGGGGCGTCTAGGCAATAGACCGCGTTGGCACACCATATCATGGCGGCGGAAGTGGGATCATATACGGTATGCGGATTTGTGCAGGGTGTTGAGAGGGCATGGCTGCATTGCCCCCAGGTGCCTGTGGGCACATCTAAATTACATAGGCTATATTTTCCACCTTATGAGGGAATTTCATCTCCACCATCTGATAGCCAGGTGTGTGATGTGGCCGACAGGGACGAACGTACGGTTACTGAGGTTGCGCCTCTGCAAGACCCTGTTCCTCCATCCGCAGGATCCCAGAGCTTGACACCCTTGGAACCCAGCGCATAATTTGACAGGAACACCACAGTGGAAGGCGCGCATATGAACAAATGAAAAGCGTTTGATACGGTTGTGGCGTATATTTCTGGTAACCGGTTCTGGCTATTTCAGTATCAGCTGGGAAAATATCGATAGGTTTAATGAGGCTTCCACAAGGTACCGGGCAGCACAGAAGATACAGGACAAGGCCACGAGATAAGGTGGAGATGCCGATTGGGATATAAGCGGACTCGGGGCAGCAGCTCAGCATCGTCTTGCTCACGAACCACAGAAAAACATGCACGGGCTCATCCTCGCTCTTCTCGTGGGTGTCGCTGGTGAGTTCCTCCAGAGTCTGTGTGTGTTTTTGTTTGTCTGTGTGTGTCTCTGTCTTTGTCTTCATTTGTCTCTATGTGTGTCTCTGTGTGTCGGGAGCGATAGTGCAATGGTAAGCGTGCTGCGCTACGAACCCAGCGACCTGAGTTCGATTCTGACGATTATCTAAACCGGTCTTGGTCTCTCCTAGGTCGACTCAGCCTCAAATGAGTACCTGGTTCGATGTGTGAACATCGCCAGCCTTTTTCATAGGTGCTACTCGCTAACAGCACTTGGCCAAACAGTCTGTTCAGGCTAAACTAGGGATGTTTGTCTTTGTCTCCGTGTGTGTCTGTGCTGGCCATCATAGATGCTCGCTGACAGAAATTGCCCCAACAGTCTGTTAAGGCTATACGGGGGATCTTTGTGTCTTGTAGACGTTTGGGGAGCGGTAGTGTAACAGTTAGCGCGCTGCGCTACGAACCCGGTGACTCGAGTTCGATTTTGAGCTCACGACCAAACATTAGTTGCGAGCGATATGTGATCCAAATTATGTTGGTGCTATGAAGAATGGCCATTGTCCAAAACGTCGTCTATGATATATTTTCCTTTTAAGACAGAACCCTAAATGACCAGCGTTGTGAAGAATTGTTAAACAACCCCCATTTATGCATGTTGAACTTCTTTTGCACCGTGATAAACACAAAAAGCAGTTTTAAAGAAACGACCAACACAGAGTGGGGAGGACTTCATTCTGCATTCGATTGACAAGGGGCTGAATATTATTATCATTGTATCACTATAATTAAAACTATCTTGTCGTGGATACTTAGAGAGCAGCAATAGTGGTGCATCTGTCGATACGACAAGATAGTTTTGTTGCACAACGTCTGTCGCCCATTTGTATCCGATTGACCTCAAATCCAAAAACGTCTCGCCTCATCACCGATGACTTTCACTTTTACTCATTTAACCCCACCGGTAATTGCTACTTTTTAGCACTCTAGGAGAGACGGTGAGGAGCGAGATGGTGATGACGATGGTGTCGATTATAATCGTCCGATTAGCTCGGTTGACTACGTACGGTACGAAAAGAAGTTTAACGTACAACGCCATAGCTGTCAACCCGAACGGTTTATCCCGTATTTGTGTACAGGGAATTTGAGTTTTCAGGTCCATACGGCGGACTGCCGTTTCAATACGGGCAAAAAAAAATTGTCTATTTGTTTGTGTTTCTCCCTTGTGATGGGACGTTGTCGGGTGAACGTTGAGATTTATAAAGGGTAAGGTTGACTAATAAGGTCTGAATTGGTCAGTAATAAGGTAGACACTGACAAGGGGTTGACAGGTATTCAACACACATACGTCTGGCAATGACAGTGGAGTGATGGCGTTGATAATAGTTGTGCAAGCAATAACTATTATTTATAATAATACAGTACTATGATTTTAATACAGCTTAATACTGGTAGGAACCTCCTGGTTACACCAGCCCACAGGGGATTGTGTCCGTCCATCCATCGTGCATCCAAAAATGGGAGGGGTGGGGCTGGGTGGAGAGGGGAGGGTGGGGAGGGGCTTTGTGGGGAGGGAGGGGCTGGGTGGGGAGGGGCTGGGTGGGGAGGGTGGGGAGGGGCTGGGTGGGGAGGGGAGGGTAGAGAGGGGCTGGGTGGGGAGGGTGGGGAGGGGCTGGGTGGGGAGGGGCTGGTTGGGGAGTGTGTGGCTGGATTGGGGGTGGGAGGGGTGGGGCTGGTTGGGGAGGGGCTGGTCACCCCGTGGTGCCCTATAAAACTCAACGTTTAACCTACTCACGCCGGCTTGTGCCCGCCCTCACAGTCGGGCATATTTGCGGAATACACCACGCCGCCGTTGATCCTGGCCATTGACCGAGCAACCCAACGTTCCTACCAGTTCCCTCCGCAGGAATGTTTTTCATGCAAATTGCTACTGTAGAATGTGCAAAGCGCCTTTGGCACAAAGACCCAGAGGAAACCCACAGACAGACGCGTGGGAAAGCAGAACAGATGCCAACAACTTCCAAAGCTTTGTGGTCCCACATTGGGGTGTTCGAGCAACTCCAATGTTGGCGATGATTGGGATGTTACTAGCAGTGAGACTGCTTTCAATGAAGACAACGACGACGATGATGATGAATGTCGGTGGATGCAAGTGAATGGCCCTGGACATACATCGACACGACTGTGTGTGCTGGCCACCCACCCCCTTGTGTGCCGTGCCGGCCTTCATAGGTGCTCGCTAATAACACTTGCCCCAACAGTCTGTGAAGGCTCTACTGGGGGATCTTTGTCTTTGTCTGACAGCGGCGGCCCCATACATGTATGAGGACCACATCGTGGGTGGCTCCGAGTGCGCTGCCCACTCACAGCCGTGGCAGGTGTCCCTCAACATCGGATACCACTTCTGCGGAGGCTCCCTTATCAACAGCCAGTGGGTCGTGTCTGCCGCTCACTGCTACCAGACGTGAGTGCGCTGCGTGCGGACAAGAGCGGATCTCTTTGCTGTGTGCGTGTCGGTGACTGGGAGGCTGAGGGAGCAGAGATGGGGCTGCTATCTAAATTACACGAAAATTTCCACATGTAATTTCGTTACATTTGCATTTTGCAATTGGTATCTAAATTACACACCTCAAAGAAATTGGTCATTCGTACATACATTACATAAGTCAGAAATCTGAATGCGTTTTGTCCATCTCTGCGTGGTGGCGTGATGTTCTGGTGGGGTTTTGCCGAGCCACGGCACTGCAATCTCCGTTACCCATATTACATCTCTCAATGGGCACTGAGGTGTTGCTGAACTCCCGTTAACCGCCTTGAACCAGTGGTGTAAATTCCACATTCATAATTTCATGGGTGAGTCTCTCCACAGGAAAATCACCCTACAAAGTAGTAGCAATGTTATCAATCTCAGAGGGGAGATGGGCCAAGTGAACCCCCGACCGTGATTTTGAACATGAAGCGTTTCATTTGGGAAGAGAATCGTTGTGCCCAGTGTGATAGCAGTAGGGAATAGGAATAGCGGAGATGAGATGCGACGTTAGGTGCCGAGTTGCGAAGTAATTTAAGAGCCTTATAAATGCAATTCCTCATCATTATTCTCGTCCCTCTCCTCTCCCTCCAACCCCAGCGCGTCCCGCATCTCCGTGCGCATCGGCGAGCACAACATCTTCGTGAACGAGGGCACCGAGCAGCAGATCCAGGCCTCCAAGGCGATCCAGCACCCCCAGTACAACTCCTGGACCATCGACAACGACATCATGCTCATCAAGCTGTCCTCACCCGCCACCCTCAATCAGTACGCGCAGGCCATCGCCCTGCCCTCCTCCTGCGTCAACACCGGAGTCATGTGCACCATCTCCGGCTGGGGCGAGACCCAGACCAGCGTCGGTGAGGTCGCACTGCGCTCACCACCCCCCACCCACCCCCCTTCTCCCCCTTCTACTACGGCAGAGACGTGAAGGGAAACACGTTCAACATCTGCCCCCATGCAAATCGGTAACGTCCTTCTAATGTGGAGAGAGAAGTTGTTTACTCGTTAACGCAGCCACGTCACGATTGGGCCGTTACAATTACTTGTCGAGTATTGTTACATGCAGTGGGAAACCGGAGTGGATGAACTGAGGGGATAACACTTAAACACCTAATCTTGGATATATATAATGATTGTACAGCACTGGCATAAAGGCCCGAAACGCCAAGCGGCCAGCAACCCACCGCGCTACTGAAGACGTCACGAACGATAGTGAATACGTTTTCTCGAATTGAGCAACGTAGCGAGAGGCACTGACAGTGAATTCTTAAGCTGCAGGCGGTGTTTTGACCCCGCAACGTGACAAGTTCGACGCGTCATTGGCGGGGTGCCGCCCTGTGCCGTGTGCTCGGCCTCGCCACCTCCTCGACTGGTGTTGTCTCCCCCCACAGGCAGTCCCGACGTCCTCATGTGCGTCCAGGCGCCCGTGCTGAGCGACACCTCCTGCAGGAACTCCTACCCCGGTGACATCACCAACAACATGATCTGCCTGGGATACCTGGAGGGCGGCAAGGACTCCTGCCAGGTGAGACGGCGACATCGAAGCCGAAGGAGCTCGCTTCGATCGGAGACAGATTCGAGGAACGGAGGGTTTCGGGAATCACAGCGCGACTATAATTTGGGTTCATATCGTTTCACGTAAATATGCTGCGCAAGAAGTAGGATACGGCATTCATTTCAAATGTGAAACAATGAAAACAGCGAGAATGTATATATGTATATATATTTGTATTTAAAAAATATTAAGCCTAGCCTTGAATTTTGCAGCAAAAGATGGCCGGAGGGAGGGAATTCCAGACTCAATTGACCAGAGTAATTGGTGAAAATTGTTACACGTGATTTGATTTGTGAGTGCCATCATCGTGTGACCACATATTGCATACGATAATAAGCTGCATTGGTAACATGTTCAAATGTGCATTGACAGAATTGCACCCATTTGAAACATAAATACGACGTTCACTTGCTACTCCCTGGTCACGTCTGCTAGTAAAGTCAAATCAATTTCCTGCTGCAATGACCATTGAGCCACTGGTGCTCATCTCACGTTTACAGCCCTGAGGCTGGTGAAAAAGTGATTGGGCAATCACCGTTGACTTTCTCAGAGAAATGATGGGGTGAGTCAGAATCAGAATTTTTACTTTTGCTGGAGGAATCCGATGAGCTATGAAAATCTCTTTTGTCAGATGTCCTGTCGGGGCCGGTCAGAAAGTTACAACAACAAACAATACAAAACACCGGTTTAACACGTAGGCTTTCGCGATCAAAATCATCCATAATATACGTTTTTGGGGGTTAGATCGTGGATACAACAAAAAAAACCTGTATAAATACAAACCACGATAGCAATCTCCAACCAGGACTTGAACTCGCAAAACCTTACGATTGACAGCTTCTTGCTCTACCGCTGAGCCACCGGATGCAGGAGACAGCTGCTAACCCCATGACCCCCCTGACCCCTGCTGCTGCCGCCACCGCAGGGAGACTCCGGCGGCCCCGTCGTGTGCAATGGCGAGCTGCAGGGCATCGTGTCCTGGGGCCGTGGTTGTGCCCTGCCCAACTACCCCGGCGTGTACACCAAGGTGTGCAACTACAACGCCTGGATCGCGCAGACCATCGCGGCCAACTAAGCGTTGATCTGCCACACTACTCTACACCGCGACCATAATGATGATCACGACAACAATTCTTATGGTGTAACCAAATGAATACAAATGTGAAATAATAATTTATCTTGGTTTCTGTGTTTTTTTTGTGAGCTGTTTTTTATGGGGTATGCACTTATTCAAAGTATATTTCAGTTTGTTGACTTTAAAAGCCAAAAAGTCAAAGTTAATGCCTGTTTAAGGAGCATTGAGGTAGTGCTCACCTCCTGTTTGCAGCTCCGAGCCAGTAGTGGAAATTCCACATTCCTATGATGGGTCAAGTCTATCCATAGGACAACCATTGTTGACATTCGAGTCGAATAATGAGTCAATCCCCAACCAGGAATTGAACTCCCAAACTTCTAGATTGTGAGCCACTCACTCTGATGCTGGATACTATGGTGATGATGTATTGGTTAGTACATTGTATTCTGAACCTGGTCACTTTATGGAGGTCTTTTTGGGTTAGATCGCATAAATATAAATGCATCGTTAAACCCACCACCACCCGACACAGCCAATTAGTAAGGTTTGTCGTGTAAAGAGAACGTGCAAATTCGTTACCAGTTCAGCACACCGGCGTGTTGGAGAGTAAACCCACAACATTTACCATTCGAGTGCCGTGACGTTTTTCCGGTAATTAGTAGTCATAGTCTTAGTCGGCGATGGCCTGTGAGATTTATAGTCCAGGTTTGGTCTGTGGATTTCATTGAGTTGCGAAGAAAGTAGGCAAATATTTAGTCAGACACTCTTAGTTATTCAATGTTGGCGTGAGGGGTGCACAATTCCTTATGCCCCCACCTCCCCACCACCCTCCACCCCTCTCAATATTATCAGGTCCACCAGGCAGTCAACTTGGTAAATCTTGTTTTCTTCTAACAAAATCTGACAATGGCAAGTCTAGTTTGGCGATCCGCTCAGTGGCTTCCTGAGATGCTGAGTGGAGAAACAGGAAGCGTCTCTCATAACAGATGTCAGTGCTGGGCAGCTCAATGCGATGGCTTCCAAGGTCCAGGACTCACGCCCACAGTCGCTCTTGGGAGTTACAACCCCCCTCCCCCCGTGTCCTGTTGTGTGAAGTCGGTCGATTGCAGTCCGCTGACTTCAAGGCAGGTCGAAGGCAGGGACCTCTGCTGATTGTCATTTATGAGGCGTCGGTTCTCTATGTTGCATGCGTTGTCCCACGATTCCGTCCACCTGGATAATGGGTGGATAATGACGTTTGGAGAGCTTAATGGAGTTTGAAAGAACTCACAAACAAACACATTGTGAAAGAGCAAACGCAGAAGATCCCTGGAATTGATCTTCCACGAAGCTCATAGTCCAGCCTAAACCGCATCTGCACAAAACTTGGCTGATGCTGATACCTGATGCATAAATTAGAAACTCTCCGGTGTGCGACTGTGGTCATCTAGAACAGACCGTGCAACGTATAATGACGCAATGCTCAATTCACAAATACGAAGGAGACATCACAGCGATGATACACTCCGCTGCCCCGGACGCGGTCATCGAGACTTGACCACCTGAATATGAAATTGTAGTTGTTTCTCTGCATCTACATCAGCCATACAAAAGATAAAGAATCAAAGTCAAACTCGTTTAGAAACAGATTCCAACCACGAAACTACCCAAACATTATACGCAGACCTTTGTTCTGTGTCTCAATGTATGAATAATATATTTTAAATACTTGGGCTATTGGCTTTCCAGACCAATATTATCCAGCAGCATTTATTATCAGCCTAATGGAAAACAAACTGGCCAATAACTAAAACACGTGCTACCAACTGATTGGGGAATTGTAGTTGTTGCTCTGCACCGATATCAACAAACATACGAAATAAGAAAAATAAGAAGCTGATGATGATGGGTCGGTGCTAGTTGTCGTGATTATTGGCTGCGTTTCCGAGGATGTCCGGCGTGATCATGAGCGCGTTCGCGGGTTGGAGTTGTTATGACCACCGTGGATCATCGCTTCCACCTCTGCTCTGAACCTTGTGCGGTGTTCTTTCCTACCTCGCATGTGGTGTACCACGACTACGTCCACCTGGATAATGGGTCGATGATAAAGTGTGGAGAGCTGAATTGAGCGCAGAAGGGAATTCACAAACAAAACACCTCGTGGCGCGGTGGCGTCGCGGTGGCATGGCCGGCGGGATGACGTGGCACAGCGCCAGGAACCACTCAGTTGGGGTGGACTTCAGCGTCCTTGACTCCGTCTTCATGGCGGTGTTCAGCTGCACTTCTAAACAAACATGCCAATTCCTTACTAGTTCAGCACTAACCGGTGTGTTGGAGAGTACCAACTCTGGCTGTCGCCTGATGAGGCTGGATGTAATTACTGGCAAAACGTCGTACTTGAATTGTAAATGTTGTGGGTTTACTCTCCAACACACCAGTGTGTCGGGTGGTGGCAGGTTTAACGACACATTTATATTTACGCGATATATCCCCAAAACCATCTATTTTCGATTTTGGTCACGAAAGCCTACTCGTGTTAAACTGGTAACCTGAGTTTGATTTTTGGCCAAGGCTACAATCAGTAGCAAGTGAAAGAACCATCACCAACCCACCCCAACCAGGATGGTGAAGTTCGGTCAAACAACCCCTCAAAGACGGTGTATATGGAGGCCTTAATCCAGCAGTGGTTAGTGTACTATTATTGGCTATATTCTATAAATACCGAGTCAAACGACAAGACTCATCTATTTCGGATTCATATAGCGCTGTTTGCAGGGTGCTTTAAAATGCAAGCCGACGGCGTTCAGTGAGGGAGGTGACGGAATGCATAGAGGGACAGGGGCTGGGAATGGAGCTGATGTTGCAGGGGTAGGTAAGGCAGAATAAGGTGGAGTGTGTGATGGTGAGTGAGAGTGTCTGATGGGTGCAGCATGAATGAGAGGGAGTGGGGTATGGGGCACATGCGTGAAGTTGTGAAATGGGCATGGATGAGGGTAGGTGAAGGGTGGTAGGGGCAGAGGTCTGCTGGCCGGATCGCTGAGCTGATGGAAGAGCACAGTGTAGGGCTGGGGGATATTACATACAGAATGCATTGAGCTTATTTCAAGGCAAATCATTCATGCTTCAAACAGATAAAATTGATCCCATTGCTGCATTCATATCTACGGAATTCATGATTAGATAATGTAAACAATTGCAACATTCTCACAGAACACGGAATCACTCTGTGATATTACAGTTCACATTGCAAACTGTGATTTTACAGAGATCTGAATATTCGTTCCGTTCGTCCCTGTCCATATCACACGGCTCGGTGAGATGGATGAGCAACTTTATGACTGGGTCATGTGACGGTTTGCTCCGTATTCTTCTACAGGGAAATTTAGTTTTCGGGTCCATATGGCGAACAGCCGTTTCCATATGGGCACAAATAATAATTTGTGTCTATTTGTTTTTCCCTCGTGATGGGACTTTGTAGGGTGAACGTTGAGATTTATAAAGGGCACGGGTGACCAATGAGGTCTGAATTTGTCTGTAATAAGGTAGAAACTGACAAGGGGTTGACAGGTATGTTTGACGGGAACAGTTTACTTGGAACGTGCTCTCCAAAAAGCATTGGTGTGTCTGCAATAATGACCAAGGCATCAGCACCGCAAGCCATAAAACACCACCGTGCTCCATCAAAGTGCCCAGAAGCCAGCTTGTCCACGCCTCAGGAGCGCACTGGGGGTGGGGTCGTGGCGGTGGGCACGGTCCCCGACGGAGCTACTCCGCCGTGGTGGCACCACACAGCCCCCCGAGGTGCCAGTCCCCGTCCCGGGTTGACTGGAGCACCTCGCCTGGGTTGCCCCTATGAGGTAGCACCGCGGGGTCCGCGGGACTCGTCCGGCCCTTGTGGCTGGTCTTGGCGGTGGCGGCCTCGTCTCTCAGCGTTCCGGCAGCGGTCTCCTCCTCCACTCCAGTGGCTCTCTCCGGTCCTGGGTACCTGCGGGCTGGGAGACAAACTCGGGGGCGGTGGGCTTCAGGTGTCGTCGTCCTCGTCTCCCCTGGCTTGGGTCGGGACCCTCTGGGGCCCGGGGCCCCGTGGGGCCCATATACGGCACGAGGCTCCCGGGTATGGGGGGTGTGGGGACCCCGGGGTTTCGGGGTCCTTGAACGGTGGGGTTCTCCCTCGCTGGGGTCGCCCTCCATGGTTTTAGTCGCCGGACATTGACTACCATCTCCCGGCCCCTCTCTCCCCCTTGAATCAGTACCGTCCAGGGGGAGATCTGTCGCCCCACCATCCAGGGTCCCCGCCAGTAAGTGGTTAACTTCCCCACCTGTCCGGCCCCGACGCGAGGGGTGTGCAGCCACACCTTAGAGCCCGCCGAGTAGAAGGGGGGCTTCATTCGGGGTCGGGCGCTCCGCTCCTGCCGCTGGTGTGCGGTCTCGCATTGCGGGTAGGCCCGGACCCTAGCTTCTCGTAGGGTCTCCATCAGGTGCTCCATGGGGCGGCTCCCTTCCTCCCATTGCGGCGGAGGGACACCGAACAGCAGATCTGTGGGTAGGCGAGACTCGCGACCAAACATCATTAGGAACGGGGTCTGTCCCGTGGATGTGTGTACCGTGGTGGCGTAGGCGAACAGAGCATAGGGGAGGTGTTCATCCCAGTCCTGTTGATTCGCGGCCGCCATGCGTTTAAGCTTCCCGGCTAGGGTCTGGTTCATCCTCTCTACCATCCCATTTGCCTGGGGGTGATACGCCGTAGTTCGGTCCTTCTGGAACCCGAACTCCCGGCACAGCGCCTGGAATAGCTCTGCCTCGAACTCACTACCTTGGTCAGTAATGACTCATTCGGGGATCCCGTGCTTAAGTACGTAGTGTTCTACGAACGCTCGGGCCACTACGAGGGCTGTCTTATCGGGGATGGCCACCGCTACGGGATAGTGTGTGAAGTACTCCACCGCTACGAGAATATACCGGTTGCCCCCGTGGGATCGCCGGAATGGTCCCTGCAGGTCGATCCCAACTAGCTGGTTCGTCCGGCTGACGCGGAACGGTCTCAGGGGTACCTGATAGCGCGC